ATTGTATAGGCCACATACACACTCATTACGCCACTACGATTCTGTAGAAAAGTCGAGTGCGGGGCACATCCCTCGGACGGGATTGATTAACGCCCAAAACTTTATCCTTTATCCTTTTTATGTAATAGTCAGTACACTTTGGAAGGTTACCGATCGTACTATTTGAGTTTGGTCAGAAGAAGGAAAGGGACCTACTTTCTATGGACGAAATCGAGCTGTAAGGGCAAAGCAGTAGGAGGGACAGTTAAGGATTTGTTGGTCTAGTATGTCAGTGTATAAAATCAGGCTACATCCATTTCCTACGATAGTATTTCAGGGAAAAGCATGAGATGTGTAGAAGTGAAAAAACTGAAACATCCCAAAAATTTGAATCGCTGAAATTCCCAATTGGGCGTGCTGCAAATAAATATGTATAGCTAATGACTGGGGCAGTTTGTTCATCCAAGCAGATCGTCGATGGGATTTTCTTGGGGAGCTTTCTGTTCAACTCAAATCTCAGGAAACCCCATGCTGTAGCAGGATCCGTAGAAGTAGCTCTCTTCACTCGGTGCTCTTCTTGTTGTTTCAGTTTTAAGGATCGCCCGTTGTCCTTCCAGATATCAGAGTCCAACTTTATACTTTTGAGAGCTTACCGTCCGAGTTGCTGTCATACTTCTATGTATAAATGTCCCTGCAAGTCTCGAAATCCGTTGAGCTCTATTTTAAGGAGTAATGTCACCATTTATCTGCTTCACGTTCCTCCCAGCTGCTGGATATGGAGGTTGCCAGACAAGATTCTCTAGGGAGTAGTCCCTGTTGAGACGGTTATCCTATTCTTAGACCCCAGAACATTCATAATACGAGGGTTTGAGATTTTCTTCATCTTCCAAAAGAGTTGCAGCTATTCATATCTATCCGTCGCCCTACGGACCACGGAAAGCTTTCGTTTATCTATAACCAACCCAGTATGGAGAGCAGTAACAACACAAAAAGAAGAAGGATTTTCAGTCGCAGAAGGGTTCCCAACCCGCTATTTTGCGCCTCATCTCAATTAGGTGGGGCTCTGAGGTCGTCTCACGTTGTTTCGAGCTTGTTTTATGCTTCCCGACATTGCCCAAAATTAGCATAATCATGAGCATCTGCTCCTCTTCGATAATCGAAAGCCTTGCGCTTAACTTAACATCGGTCTTTGCTTCCTTCTGCAGCTTACTCTTTCTCGTAGTTATCAAAATCCCAGGGTACATATTGATCATATCGATGGAAAGCTGGCACTGCTTATATAGCAAACAAATGCCCATGGGGCCAAACAACATGCCACTAGACCTGATTGCTAAGGATGTGTATCTGTGGTTCTTTTTACATAACAAGCATGTATAATAGCAGCAGGCCAAAAGAAAGGAAAAAGGATAAAGACTTGGGCGTTAAACCCCGTCTAAGGGATGCCGCCACGCATTTGACTTCCATTCAAATTGTCGTGGCGTATTGAATGCGCTGAAGGCCAAAATATGTAAGTATTAAGAATGAAACACGACTGTCAATAAAAAGAACAAAACCACTAAAACATAACACTCAAATAGAGCAGGCGAATGTGGTTGTTTGAAAACTGTTGCGATAAAGATAGTGCAAGGATTAATGCGTACAAGATCAGATATCAAGTGAATTACTGCAGTCGGAGTGTTGTTTGGATTGAGTTATGTAAGAGGAAGTTATTTGGGACTGCTTTACGTAAAAAGGGGAGTGTTGTTTGGATTGAGTTATGTAAGAGGAAGTTATTTGGGACTGCTTTACGTAAAAAGGGGAAGTGGTTAGAATTGAATTACGTTTATACGAGTGAGTTACAGGGTTATCTGGAATAGAGAAATTGTTGGGATTGGGCTATGTAAGAGCTTCGTGATACCTCCATCAATACAAGAATTGGACAACAGGCCAAACACCTACTTACAAGGGAAGAATCCCAAGTCGAAGTGGCCATTTGAAATGAGACCTATACTGCTACACGTATTTTTGATGCTGATTGAAAACCTGCATTCAAAATCTGCCGAACGATTCTCTGAACGAAGTTACGGAGGTGGTTTCCGGAGAGCGCTCAGCAGGGGAAAGCACAAGTACAGGAGCTGACGCAAAAGAGCGAAATTAAAATGGCCGGTTTTTTAGAATTCGGTAACTGAGTGAGGGAAAGGAACGAAAGTCTCCCCGATGTGGACGTTGCCATCGAATTTGAAAGCTTGAAACGGGAACAATTAGTGCCCCAGTGAAAGGGAACGCCTGATTAATTTGGGAAAAAAACTGTACAATCAACGTTCAACAGAGGTGCAATTCTTTTTTATCGGAAGTCAAGGCTTTCTAGAAATTAATTAAACTAGATAATTTGTCTTTTTGTTTATTTTTATTAATTCACGAAAATGTGCAGTCATTCCGAGACCACGGAAACAATAGATATGTTTCTTCAATGCAAAACAATAAAGATTTCTATGGAAAATGGTATAGTCGGAGCGAAGACCACAAATGGAAATTAGAAGGAATTGGAAATGTTATAGCTATCGTAGAAGATTGAGAACGATGAAAGCCGGATATCTTTTGCTTCAATCAGGAAGCATTTTCTCAATAAGCAATATTCATGTTTGTTGAGAGACTGAGAGAGCTTTACACATCTCCATTGTATTTGTTATGGCCCCTGGACACTGAACTGAATTCATATTGTGCTACTGGTTGAACTTCAATTAGGCTAAGTAACGGAACCACCTG